TTGAGAGCGAGAGAGAGAGAGAGAGAGAGAGAGAGAGAGAGTAAAAAAAAAAAAGAAGCAAAAGACAAAAATAAAAAACAAAGGTAAATGGTTTTTCTTCTCTCTGGCTGGTGGTTTGTGAGAAGTGAAAGGTTAAAATAGAGAAAGAAGAAGATCTATTTTTAGAAAGGAAATGAGATGAGTGATGAGTAAGGTTTGGGTAAGTCTCCTGGTTTATCTCGTATCAGTTGCAGAATCAGGGTGTGTCTGACGAGTGTAATGTAAGGAAGAAGACCACGTAATTGAATTAGTTGTACGGTCTTTTTTTTATCAGTTTTAGATTTGTGAACCATGAGTTTTCCAAAGAGGAAAATGATGGAGAAATGGTAAATCAGTTGGATCCTTTCTCGTTAGTTGTAACCCTTGCATGTTTTTGTCTTCCCTTATAATTATTTTAATTAATAATATTTTATATTAAAATAGAAATTAAGATATATTGCTTGTATGCTACACACGTCTGCATGAAGTGGCTTTTGGGTTTTTCTCCAAATGAAATTGTGTTATATCATTTGTAGTTTGCAAGAATATATTTCGAAAAAGAGATTACAAACTGATGTGTATATGTGTATATATGTATGTATATATATATATATATGCAACAATTCTATTTCATTCTTAATAAAATTCTAAATCTTAATTTCTATATCATAACCTTAACACATAGAACCAAGACTGTGTTTTTCTATTTTATTTCACCATCATCCCTATCTTGATTTTCTTGGGTTTGTACAAATTTAATTCTCACTTTGATTTAGATAAGGTTGCGAACAATACAAAATTATTATTAAATTTTATGACATTTGGAGATTAATATGAAAATTAAGGGTAAAAATTAGTTGGGAATAGAATTCCAAGATGAATAGAAGAAGAAGTGCATTAACACATATAAAAATGGAAAAATAAAAAATTATTTTTTTGAAAATGAAAATAGAATTCGAATTTGAAATGCCAAAAAGGATATATTTTATGTATACTTTATTACTTCAAAACCAAGCAAAATTATATATATTTTTTAAATAAAAAAATTAAAAATTTAAAAGGTTAATATACTAGAGAAAATATTTTCTATTTCTACTAAAATGTAATTTTATACAAATTTTTATCTCCAAAACATTTAATATTTTCAAATCTTGAAAGATAAAATCAAATTTTTTAAATAAAAAAAATTACCACTTCTAACATATATTTTATTCACAAAATAATTTCTCATACTAGTAATTTGCTTAATCCGTTAAAAATGCAACTAATCACCCTATATATATAATATACTCTCATTTACATATCTCTGTGTGTATATATATATATAGAGAGAGTAAAAATAAACTACCATTAAGAAAAGTCATGGAAAATGGAGATACAAAATAATGAAGAGAAACAGAGCAAGGCCCGGGATATTGGCGCGGCTCAATCAAACCAGGGGAGCCAAATTTACATCGGCATCGTTGTGAGATTGAACTGTGCCAACATCTCGACTGCGGTTGAGTTGAGTTGAATGATTGAAAGTTTAGATTTAGGACTTAGACACTTTGTTGCTTCTGTGGTTACTATATACAATTGTGCATGTAATAAAATATATACGAGTCATCCCACATATAGTTTTCATTGTAATTATCTATATATATGTCTATACATATATACATATATGCGTATATATATAGGGCACTCCGATGAATGATTGAAGAAAACAAGGGTGATTAAAGAACATGGGTGAATCCTCCAAAGATGTCAAATTTGTAATGCACAAATAAAACAAAGCTACAACAAATTTCCAGCAATAACAAAGCAAATCAATGGCAAAACCCAGAGGGAATTTTATATTACTTTTGTCGTCTCCTTATTCTTTTTCATTTCTCCATAATCTTTCAATTTAGATCTCTAACCTTTTCCACTTGTAGCTTTATCCCTGCCATTTTTTCCTACACTTTACATGTTAACCCTCTCCTTTTAAATGCTGAGTGATCTTCTAGTAAGTCATAAGGAGGCTTTGTGACTGATTGCAGCTACAATGGCCAATCTTGGTAGGAACCTGGAAACTCTGTTGGACCAGGACAAAGAAGCAGGTATGAGGAAAACAGAAGTACCTCCGCCTTGGAAAAGTATTCCAGGACATGGCCTTGAGTACAGCAATCTCTCTTACAGTATCTTGAAGAAACAGAAGAAAGATGGTGTGTGGATCACCAAAGAAGCTTATCTTCTCAATGATATTTCTGGTCAGGCTATGAGAGGAGAAATCATGGCAATCGTAGGTCCTAGTGGTGCAGGAAAATCCACATTTCTTGATGCATTGGCTGGTCGAATTGCGCTTGGAAGTCTTGAAGGATCTGTTAAAATTAATGGAAAACCAGTTAGTATATATACATGCCTCCTATTTGTGGATCTTTAACTCAAATTTTGTTCAATGGTATAAATTTTTTTGCAGGTAACTACCAGCTACATGAAGATGGTTTCATCTTATGTAATGCAAGATGACCAGCTGTTCCCCATGTTAACAGTTTATGAAACCTTAATGTTTGCGGCAGAGGTTAGACTTCCTTCTTCCATGTCCAGGAGTGAAAAGAAGAAGAGAGTTCATGAGCTCCTTGACCAACTGGGTTTGCAGGTAACTCTTCCTTTATGTCTCAATTTCACCAGACAGAAAGGAAACTAAAACAAATTAAAGTGAAAAACTAACAATACGTGGGCTCTGCAGAGTGCAGCACATACATATATCGGGGATGAAGGAAGGAGAGGAGTTTCGGGAGGAGAAAGGCGAAGAGTGTCTATAGGAATTGACATTATCCACAAGCCATCATTGCTGTTCCTTGATGAACCTACCTCAGGTCTTGACTCCACAAGCGCTTATAGTGTAGTTGAAAAGATTAAGGAAATTGCCCGAAGTGGCAGCATTGTTCTGATGACAATCCACCAACCTTCTTACAGAATTCAAATGCTATTAGACCGAATCACAGTTTTAGCCAGGTAATATATACAAACCTTTTAGCATTTGATGATGGGAAGTAGACAATACAGGCTTTCGTGCATCTACTTTACAACCATGTTATGAATTTTAATTCATGCTTAAATAACAAGAAATTTTGATTGCAGGGGTCGATTGATATATACAGGAAGCCCAGCTGCTCTTCCTACTTACCTATCTGGATTTGGGAGGCCAGTGCCTGATGGTGAGAACAGCCTGGAGTATCTTCTAGACGTGATCAAAGAGTATGATGATTCCACAGTCGGGCTAGATCCCCTGCTGCTGTACCAATGTAATGGAATCAAACCTGATCAAGTGGCTAGAACTCCAGTTCCAAAGACACCAAGAACACCGAGGACTCCTTATATGAAGACACCCAGATCCAGGCTGGCAATTAGCCTTCGAAGCCAAGCATTCTCAATTGGAGACAGGACATCTCGAGGAGACTCTATCCAGTTTGGCTCTTATGAACAGGATGATGAAGATGAATTTGATAACTCATTGGAACGCAAAAGCAAAATTGCCCAGACACCCATGAGCATGCAGAGTGGTACATATAATCCACGCTTAGCTTCTCAGTTCTATAAAGACTTCCCCGTCTGGCTTTACCACGGTGTTGTTGGGACTCCTCGTCGTCCACCATCATGGACTCCTGCTAGAACTCCAGGAGTAACACCTGGGAAAACACCAGGAAGAAGCTTTTCTTCAGGTCAATACACAACGCCACAGCTGAATCTTCTTAGGCCTAAAACTCCTCTTGTTTCCAGTCCATCATCAGGCCCATATTCTCCTTCTGAGGAGTTTGATGAGATAGATGAAGAGGTGCTTGATGGACCAGACCACGGTCCTAAATTTGCAAATCCATGGCTACGTGAGGTTGCAGTACTCTCATGGCGCACAGGGCTTAATGTGATCCGAACTCCAGAGCTGTTCCTGTCACGTGAAATTGTCCTGACAGTCATGGCATTGATTCTTTCCTCGCTCTTCAAGGACCTAGATGATGATACTTTTAAAGCCATTAACAAGCTTCTCAACTTTTATATCTTTGCAGTCTGTCTCATTTTCTTTTCCTCGAACGATGCAGTTCCTACTTTTATTCAAGAGAGGTTCATCTTCATTAGAGAAACTTCACACAATGCTTACCGTGCTTCCTCTTATGTCATCTCCTCCCTCATCGTTTACCTCCCGTTTTTTGCTATCCAAGGTGTCACATTTGCCGCCATCACCAAAATCCTACTTCACCTTAAAAGCAGCTTTTTCAACTTCTGGATTATCCTTTATGCCTCGCTTATCACCACCAATGCTTATGTGATGCTTGTTAGTGCGCTGGTGCCAAGTTACATCACAGGTTATGCTGTTGTTATTGCAACCACAGCTCTCTTCTTCTTGACTTGTGGCTTCTTCTTAAAGAGAAGTCAGATACCTATTTGGTGGAGATGGCTCCACTACATTTCTGCAATAAAGTACCCATTTGATGCATTATTAACAAATGAATTCAAAGGGAAAAGGCATTGCTATACCGGAGCTGCACAGGATCTTTCACCAGGTCCTCTAGGAGATATACAGATCAGCAACCTGCACAAGCAATCTCCAGAACTA